GCGACCTGCTCGTTCGACAGGACCGTCAAGGTATGTGTTGGAGTAATTGCAGCACAAGAACGACTCTATTCTACTGCATGGGGTTTAAGCGGTATTGTGAAGGCGTTGCCAAGTCTGTAACCGTCAGGTGAAGACAGCTTGGGCATCTGTGTGTTTGCCTACCTAACCTCGCATCACATACCAGCTACTTTATAGCTACAGCTGAAGGAATAGCAGTACATGACAGTGCTGTTGCCTCGACAGGTTTTGAGCGTCGAGTTGCGCTTTGTCAAAGGGGTGCAACACCATCAAGTACTTCCGCCACCAGCTGGACACCATTCATCAGACGCAGGAAGAAGCAACCGTGGTGTGGGAGGACAACTCGGGAGCTCTGAAACTCGCAGCTTCCGTATCACCCCAAGGACTTAGCACGTTGACGTAAAGTTTCACCACATAAGGTCGCTGGTAGCTGATGGAGTCAGTCGTAGACGTGAAGCAAATATCGACGTCGCTTCAGAAAGCGGATATTTTTACGAAAGGGCCAAACCCGTCGGAGTTTCTCCACGCCCGTGGCATGCTGTTAGGAGTTTAACCTCCCCTCTTCGTCTTAATCAGGCTTTATGTCTTGAGGGTTGGATGGTGTATGTGTGTGTAGATGTTAAAAAGAAAATTCGGGAGATTTTTGTTGAAGGAAAATAAATCGCTGCTGATGCAACGCAGCTGAAAAGAAAGGGCAAAACAATTGATGATGATGAGTCAGAAGTTCTTTTAGATTGCATTGTTTCGAGAGAACATGGATGGATGTTGTTTCGAGAGGACATTGAGAGAGAATTGAATCTGACGCATAGTACTAGAATGGCATAGTTCTTGAGGACATGCTGGAGTAATTGCAGTACAAGAACAACTCTATTCTACTGCATGGGTTTAAGGGCGCGGGGGGGATCGCAGTACCTCCTCTGAAAAATCCAGGAAACGCCTGCATATCTCGGTTTTCCAAAGTCTAACTGCAGAACGAAACTACCATCGTAAATTAACCGTCCGCAGCGGTCGCTTGTGTACAATGTTAGTAGCTGAGGTTGTACCCCTTGCGATACACTACAGACTAGCGGTCCGCGATTTTCCAAACGATCCTTCTATCATCGAGTTCGGTGAGCTACAAGCTAGATTTTTGAAGCTGCTGTGCGGTCCGATTTTGAAACGCTTCAAGCACCTTTGCCTAAAGGCTGGACATGCATATACATGATCCTAGGCATCCAAATCGACAATGAATGGCGACCAGCTGAATATGTGAGGGAAGAGCTGCGCTGAAGTTTCAGGCCCCATACACTCACATAGTATAGGTGGTGATTCGTGTTCACCGTGTGCTTGAAGCGTTTCAAAATTGGACCGCACAGCAGCTTCAAAAATCTAGCTTGTAGCTCACCGAGAACTCGATGATAGAAGGATCGTTTGGAAAATCGCGGACCGCTAGTCTGTAGTGTATCGCAAGGGGTACAACCTCAGCTACTAACATTGTACACAAGCGACCGCTGCGGACGGTTAATTTACGATGGTAGTTTCGTGCTGGAGTTAGACTTTGGAAAACCGAGATATGCAGGCGTTTCCGGGCGTTTCCTGTTTTTTTTAAGAGGAACAGTGCTGCACGACTGAAAAAAAAAAAAAGTAGGCGGAGGAACAAAAATTATCGTTTTACGCAGAAGAGCTGCGCGACCGGCGTACATCCATCCAAGGCTAAAGGTTGACAGCAGTAGACTATTCCAGTAGCTATATAGGGAACCAAGATTTGGGAAATTCCGTCAACTGTAGGCTTCAAACTTGTCGGCGCAATACGCAGCCCCTCCCCTAAAAAAATGTGAGACTCGTATCTACGCGGCGCAACCACACTGCTGTGCACCCGCCAAATCGACCAAGCACAAGAACACGCCCGCTACAGCATCAATCGCCACCAAACTTCGAGGGAAGATGGACTGAGAATCACAGAGTATATTTCAGCAAGGTTGAACTTGGTTAATGCCGGGAATAGAGAGGTAGACACGGATGAAGTCGAAAACTTGCATCCACATACAGGGACCATGCTTATCTTCTGCCACGCCACCGGCAATACCGAGCCCTGGTAAGGTTAGCTGCTGATGTTGTGGTTGTAGAGCACTTGGAATTATGCTGCAAGACGTACTACAGGTGGAGTACTCTTGAATTGCGTCAGCTAGATTTGAACTGAAAATGCTGTTGGGGTGCCCCCTCTCCTGGTGCTGCTGTGTTGCACCGCACACACTTGTGCCTGTTGACTCGGGGCCCTCACCCAGCAGCACAACTCTCTGGAATTCCGGGGAAAAAAAAATGAGAGGATGGAGTAGCGACAGTAACACGGCCAAGGAACTTGGTCGCTGATAACGTTATGCTATCTGATGTCGCACGCAGACGGCACGGCCGGCAATATGTACACATTATTTATGGTTGAAGTATTTTTTCTCAAACCGTAAGCATACGAATACATGTACATACATTGTACGCACTGAGCATTGGGTGTGTCGAAAACGCGATGAAATACTTACACACGAACACCGCACACAAGACCGCCCCCCCCGGGTTGTCCAAACCTAGCAACAAACATCTTATTTACAGTCAGTAAAAACGACACAAGCAAGCCCGGAACGCACACAGCATCCCCGTACCTTTCAGGCAGTTTGTGACCCACAAAATACCATGCCAATAAACAACGGACACCCAGCGCGGCCGAAGGAAAAATAATCCCCCCCGTCCACCTCCCTGCGCAACTGGGTAGGAGAACACAGGGGAGAAAACGCGCGCTCTAGCCGGCTGGTCAGCGTTAGGCTTCTGTTCATCCGCCTGACATTTTGTATCCCAGGGTCGTCGTATTTGACTGATGGCTGCATCCAACGGAAGTGAAGCACGGGCCTGTTTAACCACCAACAAAGACGCGCAAAATGTGGCACTGAAATATGGAGTTACAATGAATCATACCACAGCGATCTTTCCCTACTATGGTGGAGATCTGACGTGCAAGAATGCCCGGCACGGCACCCCCAATCCCAAGCCAGGTCTCTCAAGGAACGTTACATGCACCTGCCTGAAGAAGTAGTCAGATCTCAGTTCCAGGCGTCGGTGACGAGATCCGCAACACCATCATCTGTGTCCCCGTCACTACAACCCGGGTCGTCGCTCTTCCCACTCAACCTGTCAGATCCCCCATCGCTGGACCCAGATTCGCCCGAAACCAACTTGATCAAATCGTCGAGCGCACCGACCGAACCGTCGCCGTTCTCGTCCGACTCGGGGTCCTCCAGTTCTGCGTTCTTCGATTCCGCGGCCTCGCCAGAGGAAACGTCGTTGCTCGCAGGTGACTCAGGGGCCCCCACCTCCACGCCGTTCTGCTCCGCTCCGTGCGATTCCTGCTGCTTCATAGAGGCCATGAAGAGTGCCATGGCATTGGCAACACTCCCGGATAGCCGTGGTCGAGTCTCGATGGGTGGTTGGGGTCGGGCGGCACCCTCGATCGGCCCAGTTTGACGAGTACCCACCGTAGGCCGGGATGCAGACCTCCCCCCTGCTTGCACGGGTGCCGGCGCCGCCCGACGTTGGGTGCAACGACCTCTGCAGCCGCAAGCGAGCGAGCACTTCCTGTCCTTGCACATGCACCTGTCGCACAGGGTCGTCTCCGGATTGCAACCGCACGCTAGCGTGATTGTCTTTCGGCGCTAGCGTGATTGTCTTTCGGTCTGGGGCGATGTAAGAAAACTCGGACAGGTCAAGCACGCAGTTCTTGACTGTGAGTTCGATGCCGTCATTCCCCTTTCCTCGTGGGTTGACGCTCCATCCTTTGCCGGCAAACTCTGTCGCCGGCATGGTCTCCCATAGGCCATTCTGCCAGTACCGGAAGATGGCATTACCCCGTTCGGCCTGCTTGCGCAAGGAATAATATGACGGACAGATGGCGGTCGTCTTCTTCTTGGGGAGTTGGAGGATGGCGTAGCGGATCACGCTCACGTAGGCTTCGACGTCGCCATAAACGCTTTGGACCACCTGGGCTGGAGTTAAATGAGCAGTGCCAAACGCCGCTTCATCCTTGTAGAAGAACAAGGTCGCCAAAAGCTTCACGCATTCGTCGACATCCACGGCCCACGTGCCGTCCTGCTCTTCGAAGAACAACGGCTTATCAAACAAACCTTCCGTCCGTACGCTCTTAAGGACGAGTACCCACATCTCGTCGAACGGCAGCCCGGAAATTGCCGGGAGGTAGTCACAGCCCGACTCCAGGAAGGTTAGGGCGAACAGACGGACCTTGTCGTTGTCCGTGGGAATCCAGCTCCCGAAGGTCAATGGCGGCCACGCGGACTCGCTTCCGTCCTGGAGTTCGCAGATGCTGGCGAACACTCCGTTCATCCACAGGAACTTGGTCTCGCCACCCACGACCCTCAGGACTGTCACATCAACTGCCCTCTCGCCACGGGGCGTGAGCCAACCAGTTGTCATCGCCAGTAGAATGATCATCCATAGGTCCGTGTCTACCGATGAAACGACCCACTTGTCGAAGCTTTTCCCCCAGTACTTCTTCGCCCAAGCGATGAAGTGTATCACGGAGAGCTCCGCCTCGCCGATGTCTGGCCCACGCTGTCGCTCGACGCCCTCGATCGTGTCGGTTCTGTCTCCAAAGTGAAGGAGTGGTTCAGTTTCGGGAAGCGCCTCCCCGGCACCTTCCCTTGCCATCTCGAGACCTATGCCCTCGGCATCTACACTAGGTGGATGATCAGCACTCAGATCAGGCTCACCTCTAACGCCATAGAATGCGACGATTCCATTCGGCTTGGTGTCGCCCGTCCAGACATCATCAGCTAGCACGCGCGTGGCGAGGTGGGCGGCGATTCCGTCCCGCGCCGCCTTGCCATCGGCTCGAAGCCATGACCCATACTGTAACGAAGGAACTGGGTCCGTTGACTTCGGGTCGAAGGTCCTAGAGCACTCACCAATTTTCTCGCTTCTCCCAAGCTGTTCGTGTCCTTTGATTACGGGCACCAGTTCCTGTCGGTCGTAGCACACCACGAGTAGCTCCGTCGACTGCAGCCACTTCGACAACAGCTGATTCTTGAAGTAGTCGATAATCCCGCAGTTCCCTTCTCGAGATATTCCGGGTGCACCCCTTGGTGGATAGACACGGGGAGATCCACGCCATGAGCGTCGGCTTCGTAAAACGGGTCGTCTGCGAATCCATCGGCACAATGCTCTCTGACCCATTTCCCTGGACCTGCCGCCTTGTTGGCGTGCTTGGCTCCTGATACGTTAAAAGGAGAGATTTCCAACAGGGGTGTATGGTGGTGGTGGTGGTGGTGGGGGGTGAACACAATGCGATGCGGTATGCATTACGGTAATAACAGTCAAAACACGGGCGTGGAGAATGGGTGAACTTCGGCTGGGAGCGAGAGCTCGAGATGACAACGCTCTTCAGCGCTTAATCTGTACAGTCAGACTAACCCGCTACAGAGTCAATACATATCTACTCGTTTAAATTGCGCACGCTCTCTCCCTCACCTCCCGTCGCGTTCGCCATGCTGTACGGCGTGGCCGCTCCTATGGACGCCACCATTTCCAGCATCTGGTCTTGTGTCACCACACCCCCGCCTTCTCTGGCGGCATCAAACATGTTCAGCGTGAGGGCCTTCCACTCTTGGCCCCCAGCGTAGGAATTGCCGACGGAGTCCTTCAGTGCAGACGACCTCCCTTGACTCTTCGTGGCCTTGTTGGTGCTGTTCCTAGCCGGGATGGAGAAAACCTTCTTCTTGGTCGCGCCCTTTAGTTGTTTCTTCTTGAAGACGTAGTACAGGACACACTCGTGCATTTTCGCACGAGCTTTGACGGCCGCGTCGATAATCTCTTGCCACTTGACCGGCGGAAACACTCTCCCGTCCAACGCCACGACCTTGTCTTTGCCATCGTCGCCTTTAAATGCCGGGCTCTCTCTCAAGCAGTCCATCGCCGCCCTGACTGCTGGCGCACGCTTCACCGCCAACTCTCTGCAACGGTCCCTTTCTGTGTGTGATTTCTCGATGAAATGCGATTCGATGTCGAAGATGGCGACTTCACGAAGCTGGGCAATCGGTTCCAGCTTTTCTATCGTGCTCGAAATGACCCTTTTCGTCAACGTCTTGTAGAGACGATTGGACACCTCCTGCCGCTCGTCCAAGCCGATTCGCGCAAAAGTGTCAGCGCCGAGTGAGACGGAGAATAGCTGGGATACGACCCTCATATCATTGCGCGAATAACTCGACACCTCCGTCAGATGATCTACCGCGAGGAACTGGTACTTGTCGTTGCCGGTGATGAAAAAAATGGGGGCGATACGGCGAAGGCCTCAAGCCCCGGGTCATGTGTCATGTTTGACTCGTACCATCATGGCAAAGCACCGAGTCTATTTTTAACTTCAAGACAGACGTACTTGCCCAATCGAAGCCCAGATTTTCTATAAATTGTTATGATAGCCTGACCCTGACCTAGCGTGGTTGTATCGGGCATTTCCATCGCATCTTTGGATGGGGATCGTGTATCCAGTGGATGTACATGCGCAACATGCACCAGCGTGCGTTCGAACCCCCAGGCGTGGGCTCTCCTGAAATTTGAATTTTGAACACACCATGCTTATCTCCTGCCGCACTAAATCGCCTCAAACCTTTTGCATTAGGTGTCAGTGAGACCTAGGTATATGTCGGCAGCATAAGTAGGCTGCAAGACGCCAACCTTGCGTAGAGGTCGGTTCGCGTGTGAAGCTTCCTCGCTGATTTTGGAGCTGCTGCAGTGTGGTACGCTCTGGCTAAAGATCAAATTTCTCACCCTACCATGTGTTTCTGGGCGTATAAAACATACCCTACTGTGCTCTTGCATCGTGTTAACATATCTCTCGTGTTGTCTGGGCAGATTAGCTTCTGGTTTGCCCTCTAGAGCCGGTCCTGGGTGTGGAGGTCTGTTGCGCCGCGAGCCGCCTCATCAGAGGGGTTTCCACAGGGGGCTGCTTTCCCGTTGGAAGCTTTTTTTCTCACACTTACTTTTTTTTTTTTCAGTCGTGCAGCACTGGGAAGTACTGCGATCCCCCCCCGCCCCCTTAACCTTCCTATTTAGTACCTACGTACGTACCTACTGTCGTACGCAAAATAAAAATGCCGAAAAAATGTTTGTCAGCCATTGATTGGTCGAGGGGCTACAGTCCCTCCAAATAATATGAGCTCCATGCCAGACAAAGGGTGACTTGGCTTCAGCATGAAAAGTGTCCCCAAAACACGTAGGGACACTTTTCATACTGAAGCCAAGTCAGCATATTTTTCCAGTACCAGGCGATGTACAGCAGTTTTGCGAACTGGGGGGCACGCAGGTTGGGAGATGTGCACAGCAAGTCAGAGGCCCATGAGAGGCATCACGGCATCACACAGCATATATATCATCCCATATCACACAGCGTGTACCACCGCAGCCAAGCATGATAGACCAAGGGATCTCAAGTACGTTGCATACAGCGGAGCCTAGGTTGACTACAGTGCGGTAAATAGGCCTTTGAGTGCTGTGTCCCAAAGTGTCTCCCCAAATCGTCCCCAAAAGGGCTTCCTAAATAGGAGGAGGGTATTGTTGTGAAGGCGTTGCCAAGTCTGTAACCGTCATCAGGTGATCTGTTGACGGGCAGAGACAAGCGCACCACCACGTTGAGCCAAGGCTTCTCTGATGCTCCCCACTTGCAGCGCAGCTTAAAATCCATGAGCGTGGACCACGAAGGATTGTGTGCCAGCCGTTGCTGCGTTGGGCTGGCGCTGATGTGATGACGTGGCAAACATTTTTCAAATATTGGTTCTCTTTTCGACAGTTGCCGCTCGGCAGATTCGGGTTCTTTTTCCGCCGCAGCGCCGCAGCGGTTTCCAGCAGGCAGCAGGTAGCAGCCCCCCCACTGCTGCTGTTGCATGCTAACACAGCAGAACCCATCCTTTCGACTGGGTTATAGCATTGGCCGCAAAGGAGTTCTGCGGGCCGGTTTGTTTTTTCATCGATATTGATGTATGTGGTGTCTATGATAGCTTACTACCTTTCGCATCATCATCAGTGACTTGAACGTATAGATACATAGATAACACGCAGAGACTAATAAAGCATCGTACACACCCCACCCAGCCATCCATTTTCACTTCGAAAAAGAGGTGGTGATGATAATGTGGTGATGGATCATTTGCTGTCAAAATCTACAGCAAATAATCTACAGTTGTCGAGGTAAAGATTGAACGGCGGCCACCGCCTCAGGGCCTCCGGCGGCCGCGCCTGGTACTACTGCTGTAGGGATAACACATGCCTGCACATGCCTGCTTGCACGGGGGGGGGCGCGGTACATAGGAATCATCACATATATTTGTTTGTAGGTTGAGTCATCCGCAGGGAGGGCTGTAAATGACGCATCACTCAGTTCTTGACATGTAGGCGGCCACCTCCGGCGCCCTCGGTGGCCGCGCCTTGAACGGGGAGAAGATGTTATGGTATTTGGAGGTAGACAAGTGATCGCGGTTGGTCATGGTTATTTGGCGCTGTCGGATGCTATGACGTGACGTCATGCTAGATCAGGGCTTTATGCCGAGACATGTGCCCTTCTGTTCAGTGTGTGCGTACAGACGATCTATGATCGTGTGTGCGTGGGATATTGTGAGTTGGCTTGGAAAGCGTTAATCAAGAGAAAGAGAACAACGGAAAGCAACAACAACCTGCTACTGTGGTCGGACAAGAGAGTTCCACACAGCTCAAAGGTGATTGGTTCTGAAGGAAGGGGTCAAATACCATTACAAAGACAGAAAGAGAGATAGGTAGGTCCAGAAACCGCCATCTCCAGCCAGCTACATGTAATCACGCTGATATCGTACTATTATCTACACTGCTGCTGTGAGAATACATTATCGTTGGTTTTCAAATGGAGGCCACCTCCGGCGGCCGCACCATGAACGGGAGGAGAAGGGAAGAAGAGGTCGCTCCAGAAACCGTCGTCTTAGCCGTGCTACTTGTCGTAAAGCGAAGTTACACTACTACTTATGTGTTGTCGTCTGGTGCACCGTCTGCCCAAAATCGTACGCTATCGACTTATGTGCGTTGACCTACTGCTGTATGTGGACACATGTCGACCAGTGCGTCGACCTACTACTGCTGTAAGTGTGTGAACACATGTCAGTACGGGTACCGGATACATACTGTTGATGGTTGATGATTTGATTCTTGGTTCCACTGTCGACGAATGTTGCGTTTCGTGCTCGAACGAACCGACTTACTTGTCGTCTGGTAGTCTCGTCCTGTGTGATGACTGTCATGGAGTGCAGACCTCCTCATCGGCGTTAGCAACGCACGAAAGAGCCCCATTCTTGGCGTGAGTGAGTGTCGTACAGCGCACTTCGTTTGCAGGTGTTCTGTGTGTCCCGGCAGCGGTGTACGTTTGTTTAGCGGCGGCCTACCGTGCTAGCGCCGTTGAGTATGAAGGTCGTTTGTGTCCGTATTTAGAACCGTGTCCTATCATAGTAGCATGTTTGTCGCCGTTGACTTAATTTCGAAAAGAAACGCAGGGAGTTGAGCCCGGACGAGGAGGCGTGACAAGTTCGGAGCCAAATAATTAGCTTGCACGTGGTTCGCCCGCACATGGCCCAGTTTTGGTGATTGAAATTGAAAATTGAAACTGGGAACCTGGGAATTTCTCGAGCGGGTACATAGTTGCAGTGATTGTGGACATATCTTCTAAAACCTACCCCAAGAATTACAACAGCTTAGAGAGCTTCCCAAAATCTTGAACCTCAAGAACTCTCGGTTTTTGGTTGGAAGTACCTCCTACAGGAGGACGGTGATGGTGCATATACATACATACATGCATTCCAGGATTTCAAAAGTAGCTTTTTTCACAGCGCGAACCCGCCACTTCCAATACGCTCATTCGAACCCTACTGACGAGAGCATTCTCACTCCTCACATATATTCATTCGATGGGATGTCGGCCTCCCTTTCTATATTTTTCAAGACCCGAAGAGAGTCCAAAATCGGTGGCGCAAGTGCCGTCACGCAGCTATACAACAACCTATGGACAACATGCTCTGGCTATGCATCTCTTCTCGGCAAGGTCCCCGTCCGTGAGCGAAGGGTTGCGCACCCGACCTCCCAAAGCACTCAGCGCAATGGTGTTGCAACTTTTACTCACTTCAAAGCAATCAAGAGTCTCGGTCGCGCCCCTTCAAGCAACAAGGCGACAGGCAGACAGATGATCCGGACGGCGAAAAAAATATCTGGAATGGAACTCACGTCTACAGACCGTGCAGAGAGCAGCTTTGTCCCCACTCTTTTGAAGAGCATCCCGCCTTTGTGTCACTGCCCTTGTTGTTCGCATATTGCACATGACAGAGTCCGAAAAAGAAAATAATGAAAGACTACATGTAGAAGGGTTGATGGGTGGTCGCGGTGCGGCCGGCACGGCAGCAGGTTGTTAGCCTCAGACCTTGAAAAGATCAGTCGTCACGCTGCCTACTTGTAAACTACTCTATATATCTGTCTGTTTTTAGTACAATATCCAAATGATCTATGAAGAGAAAATGATTGATGAGAGGGCTTCCTTGTAGACCTACAGCTGAAATTTGTAGGTGATTCTTTTATGGCGGCGCCTGGAGAAAATTGACAATAGAAAGCAAGAAAAAGGTCCAGGCCGAAACACCCAACCAACCAATATCTTGACGACCGCGACGTCGATTCACAAGCAACCAAGTGGACTGTTACAATAGATAGTGCGGAACTTTAGTCATTGCAGCCTGTATCACGACGAAATCACATGCAGCCGCAAATTATCCACATTCAAATGCCGGTCGCCCCGGTGGTCTAGTTGGAAACTTCGAAACCTTCTAGAGGTCAGGTCAGGGGTTCGAATCCCGGCGTAAGCGAGCTTTTCTTGCAAAGTGAGTTTTTCTCTCGGTTCTGCTCCTGGCCTAGTGGACAGCGTTAGTTCGTGTGTACACAGAGGGAAGAGAGTGCTGAACTCTTCTCGCATTAAAAATCGAACGCAAAGTACCGCAAGAGGGGACGGTAGAGCGGAGCTCTTCTGTGTGACCACGGGTTGGAGGAAAATGGCACTAGTACTGTGAGCGCTGATTTCAAGTGAAGACAAAGAAAAAAAAAAATGGAAAGGTGATCCTTAAACCACCATCAAAACCACTTCTCAGTGAGGTGCATCATCTGCCGACCAAAACATATCTATATCTATCTATGCAATGGGGAGGAAGAATTGAGGACTAAAGCGTACGTATAGAACACCGTTTCTCTCTCTTTCTCAAAATGGAAAGGAAGAGACAACAACAAACGTAAAGCATACTACAGGTTCTACATATATTCTCACCCAGATCCCAGACACTCGAACTCTTCAAGCATAACACAGAATATTGGTATCAAACTTCTCTAGGTAAATTCAAGGAGAACTGGGATCCGTCCACCGTCAGGATATACTTCACACATGGAAACTTACAGTAAGTACACCTAATATCTACCGCCAAACTCACTCTTAGTTTTCGAGGGCATAAACGTATCCTCACAGGTGGAGGTCTACCCCCCTTCCCCAGAATATCCGATGCCCTCGCCCCCTTGTGGACATCTTGACAAGGTCGAACACCTTGGAGAAGACAACCAAGGCCTCAAAAATACCTCGATGTCTCCCCTTTCGCGGCCTTGGTTGTCTTCTCCAAGGTGTTCGACCTTGTCAAGGCCTCCACAAGGGGGCGAGGGCTCCGACATTTTGGGGAAGGGGGGTGGACGTCCACCTGTCTGTGCTTCCCTTGCCGTCTTCATTGTTTTTCATGGAGTGAATCAACAGGCGTATATAGCAATGTTTTCCGAGGTCAGTCAGTGCCTTTTCGTCTTCACATAGTAAGTACTACAAGCAAATGATATTCTCTCTTGACACATACAGTAACATTAAGCTCCTCCAACCAAACGCACCATCCGCGCATCATATTCCATATCGTACTCACGCCGGTTTTCGCGATAGCATCACACTCACGTATTAATTTCATCCATACTACCCAGTTCTGACCCTCGTCATTTTCGGCGACCCCATATCAACATTCACTCATTCTCTGTAGTCCCGCCCCGCAACAAGAATTACAAATTATACTCAACTGAAATGCCGGGCACTCGACCTCTCTTTCTGGTGACTTTCAAACCATCGAACCACCTCCCGAACGTCTACATACTAATCGAGCAAGTTGCGAATATTTTACGAAAATAGGTATCTGACATACAATCTACAAGGAGGCGTCGTTTTTGTTCGCCTTCTTCTTCGCCCTTTCCCCCTGGAGCGCGTCATTGTGGTGTTGGTTGTTGTTGGTGATTGGCGAGACTGCTTTCTTCCCCCCTCTTTGATGTAGGGTAGCGCCCATTTGGGTTACTTGACACTCTCCTTGCCGACCTTGGGCGCCGGGACCGTGCCTCCGACAACAGAGCTGGGGTGTTTGGCATCCCCGTTGCCGTTGTAGTAGCCAAGGACCAGGTATTCGTTGTCGTTCTCTTGCCACTTGTTGTCACGGCGAGTGAAGTGCCCAAGCGCCCCGAACTAGCTTCGGTTTGTCACGCCAGAGCGAAGGGTCGAGCAGAATGGCGCCCGTCTCGAGGTTGATCGAATCCTGGAGTTTTACCAGGCCCTTACCGTCCGCGGAGAGCGCCAAGCCCAAAACCACGTGCCTTGAGGGGCTCAGAAGCGGGGGCGGTGCCCGCCTCCTCTGCCCCCTCTTCCCCCGCATCGACTTGTTGTTATTTCCCTTTGATTGGCCGCCTGTCTCCCGTTGGGTCCTGCACCGATGTGGTTGGGCATATACTAGGAGGAATGGGAAATCACGCATTAGATCACACGGCACTGTGTGACTTGGCTATACAACAAACAACACCAACCGTCGCATAATTGAATATCCACAGGCCACAACATTGTATGCTCAAACACAATGCCCTGGCAGCATCGCTTTACGTAAATCAGCGACGGGGATACCACCGTGGATACTTGGCGTTCATGAAGAAGACCCGGTGTGGGCGTGGGACGATGAGGAAAACTACACCAACGAAATCAACCACCACCACCACCACCACCGACAACAACAGCAAGAACAACAACAACAACAACAACAACAACAACAACAACAACAACAACAACAACAACAACAACAACAACAACAACAACAGCAGCAGCAGCAGCAGCAACCGAACGCTTGGCACAGGCCTCATCTCCGATGCGTCCTGGAACGTCCGAGGTCCATGCGACGAGGAGCGAAGAGAGACAGCCATGAACCCAAACACCGACTAGACGCGCGGATTGGAGGAGGTTGGTTTCAGAAAACCGTCGATTTATGCCGAGCACATTTGTTGCCTGTCGATAGGGCGGGTACAGTAGTCCGCAAACGTTCATTAGTTCACTCTTTCAAAGTCAATAATGTGATAGCATTGATGTCAACAACAACAGCAACAATCCTTTCATTCATTCATCTCCATTCATTCATTCATTCATGCACAACTTCGCCTTTCAACAACTGCACGCACTTTGTACCAACAACCAATCACCAACAATAACGAAACTTAATGACAACATTGTGTCGCCCGTCGTAAGTGGCCATCGCTCCGGTACTCGGCTCGCGGGTAGTCAACAACAACCAAGCGAACGACTCTCAAACCATACCTCCGGTTACGCCGTGGGTGGTGCCGAGTCAGTGGTAGGCGGACGACTCTGCTCTTCGGGGTGTACCCGGAACAGCGAAACGCCCGTGGTGAAGTCTCCCTCCTCTCGAATACGACCTTAGACCCTCCTTGGCGGAACACGGTCTCTGTTCGTGACCTCGGCGGCCCACCTGACGCACCAGCGAGCGTCTGACAGCGCGGGCATTCTCTCCAACGGCAAGCCCGTCGCCGGTGGGGTAGACCTTGCCCAGGCACCTGTCGTCGCCGGCGCCTTCGCTACCATTGATTGCCTGGTTGGCGTGCAGCAGGACATCGTTCACAAGACTACGCAGGAACGAGGGCAAATTCACACGTCTCATTCTGACAAGATGGGCTTCGATGCCCGTGGTACGATTCAGCTTTGAGGAGAACATCCACGCCTAGGTGAACCGTGCCAAGGGCATCGAAACCCATCTTGTCACGATGAGACTTGTGAAATTACCCTCCTTCCCGCGCAATCATGTGGACGCAGTCCGCACGCCAACATGGCGTTCCTTGACGGTTACGGCGCCAGCGACGACAGGCACCTGGGCAAGGTCTACCCCGCCGACGACTGGCTTGCCGATGGAGAGCATGCCGCGCTGTCGTGTGCTCGCTGGTGCTTCAGGACAGACTCGATGTGCTGACGCTCCCCGTCGCTGAAGTTCTGCACGACCACCGCGCGCGGGAAGAAAGCCCCTTCTTGATCGTGTTTAGCACCGTCGTTGGTATCCGCGCCTGTAGCAAAAACGTGGCGGTAGGTACGCAGGTGCGGCCACCAGTGAAATGACAATGAACGCCAGTAGCGCTTCAGAGTCCGCCCAGAGAAGGCAAGCAATAACTTCTATTCTGAGCCGGGAGGGAACGTTAGTGCAAAATGGAAACTACACGACTACCGACGACACGTGGGCCAGTTACTCTCCGTACCATCAGGTTTCCGCCTCCCCTGCTCACGCTGTTGCCGCTAAAGCTTGGTTCCCTTCTCCTCTTTCCCGCAGATTTCGCGGGTGTACGCTGGGCATCATTCTCCTGACTATGAAGGGTGGGAAACATCAGCCACCAAACAGTTGGATGACAAACAAGGCGTGTATGGCAACACCTACTGACCTCCAGGGTAGACTTGAAACTGTAAGCGATCGTCATCGTAGGGTCGTGTCTGACGGGAGGGTGTGTGTGAGTGGACGATGGGGGGGTCACTTGTGTTCTCGCGATCACCGGGTGAAATCGAAAATCAAAAGCAACGGAAGTGTTATCACTACTGTAACGTTGTTGTTACTTCTCGTATTTTACCGAATTAGTTAATCGGTGATCGGTACTACTGTAGCGCTGCATCATCCTCGTAAACAGGCTTTCCCAAGAGCCAAACAGTAGATTCACCGGTTACCTTGCCGGGTGAACTGGGTGCCGGGCTGTTGGGTGGTTGCGGGGTGAGAACTCCCCGACCGGACGCCGATTTTTCCCATTCCCGAAATTTGTGACCGGGCATCTCCGCAAAATGTGAAGAATAAGCACATTGACACAGCGGGAAGGGGACAGAGTCAACTGAGCGCCGCGTCCTCGCTCTGAAAGCAGAGGATTTCAACAACTGATTCCTCGTTACACCGGGGTGGATGCGATTCTTGTGGATATCGAAAGCACGTGTCACGTCCGGCGGGTCTCCCACACGTTCACAGTTTTCCCAACGACCCATGGGACTCCCATGCGTCACCTATGGGCCGCCCATGGGCACCCCGTTAGGCCCATGGGCAACCCATGGGAAGCCCATGGGCGGCCATGAGAGCCCTTCAACCGAGCCAGTGTACTCCTAAACAATAGATGATCTCCTTTGGAATGGGCACAATAGCGGCTGGTAACCCTAACGCTAACCGCAACCGTAAAACCTCGCGCCCACACGGTACGTGCTAGGTTGGAGCTGGTGGCTAAGTTCTAGGTTGATGTGAAAGTGGCTAAGTTCTAGGCTGATATGCCAGTGGCGAAGTTCTCCTGTAGGTTGAAGTGCCTATGGGCGGCCTATGGGTGTCCCATGGGCGGAATAACAAAATTGTCAGTTGTGTGGGAGATTGGGGCTGTAGAGTTACAATAGAGAAGATGGGGTGGAAGCTATCTATGCCTTGTTGGAAACTGGCTGGTGCTAGAAGTGGGGCTCTAAGCGTCACCGGCAACAGCTGGTGGTTTCTTACCAACTGATGGAGTGAAAACAGTAGGAGTGAAAGCAGTAGGGGTGAACGCAGTAGAGGTGAAAGCAGTAGAAATGAAAGCAGCAAGGGTGAAAGCAGTATCAGTGAAAGCAGTTGGATGGAAAGCAGTGGGGTTAAACATTACGAGTGAAAGCAGTGAGACTGAAATCAGCATGAGTGAAACCAGCAGAAGTGAAATCAGTAGGAGTGAAAGCAGTAAAAGTGAAACTTGTAGGGGTGAAACCACTATGAAAGAAACCAGTAGAAATGAAAGCAGCAAGGGGGAAAGCAGTTCCAGTGAAAGGAGTTGGAGGGAAAGTAGGGGTCAAAACAATACGAGTGAAAAAAAGTTAGACTGAAATCAGTAGGAGTGAAACCAGTAGGAGTGAAACTAGTAGGAGTAAAACCAGTAGGAGTAAAACCAGTTGGAATGCAGCTCGAAGGAAGGAATCCGTCCCTGCCCCCACCGCTCCCCATCATTTTCCCGGCCTGGCGGACGGGACTGTTCATGGTGGACATGACGGAATCGATGTCGCAAATACCGTCCATCTGCTGATGATGATGCCGTGTTCACGATGAATATCCATCCACAGTCACAGCCGATTGCGACACAACCCAACCTGCGGGAAATTGTCCAAGACAACGGACAAGACAGGGCGCAGGGGAAAGCGAATTCACTGCTTGGGTCGTTCTTTGATAGCAGGGTTTTCTATCCACCTTCTACATCAGTCACATGGCTAAATACGCCTACGTTCCATCACGCACATTCGGACTGTTTCTCGTCTATGCGTGCGGGATAAATATTGTCGACATCTCCCGCTCCTTGAATATCACCCTTCAATGGGAACCTTCTCATGTACTCGAGGAGGCGACGGCTTCAGTCAGCATTGGCCTTCAATTCAGAGTTTCCGAAATACAACGGTTGCCCATACTGAGATCCTGGCTGGACCTATCGCCATCGCAAACTTTCGCGTGTCCTATGTCGCAGTTGAGTACCACACCATATGAACGCGCCTTTGTTTAGGGGGTCTTGCGTGTCATTGGTGTGAAAAATGAACAAGTCACGTCTGCGGTGCTCCATGTGTGTGTTTTCCCGCCCACATATTCGCTTCACAATTTATAGATATTCGCCGCCTTGCCGCCCAAATTGAAAACTTCCAACCTATTTTAACCCTGTATTCCGGAGGGAGGGGTGCTTGCCTCTGATTTTCAACGCGCCAGAGAACGCTTCAGTCATGCTCCCCGCACGTTTCCGAACAAACAACGAAAGTTTCCGAGCAAAAAAGCAAGCAGCTCCGCGGTTGCTGCAAGTTTGAAACGCTGACGGCAGTACTTACAGCAGTAGACAACCGCACCCAAGAAGCACAGAATCAAGATACAATGAAGTCATGTACGTTGTATTACATTGAATACAAAACTACAATGTTTAGCAGATGAGGAGGACTTGCTGTCGTCCTACAGCAGTACAGCAGTGTCAAAATGTTGGAGTTGGCCGGCTGTTCGTTTGAATCGATGGGCTATAACACGAATAACCAAGCTTGTACGTCTAAGACAACACGCGGCCTTGGGTTAGACAACACACGAACGGATATATTTAGTTTTGGTGATCAGGAAGGCAGCTTTTCAGCAACCAAGCAAATTCGATCGCGATTTTTTCTCGCCTGCCCTGACGCTACTTGCCCTCTGTTGGTATGTTCGATATGGGAACAGAGTAATGCGCGGACTTGCTGCTGACGAGTAATGGGAGGACGGACAGAAATGCTCGTGCAACTACTGACTGGGGTTAGTCGTTGCGGCAGTTCACTCCTGCTACGCTACATATCTGCAGCACGCCCAGAGACCAGTATTCGTGTCGAAATGGATTGGGAAAGGAGCACATGGGCCATTGATACCGCCTGTACAGCTATACAATAGATCAACGACCCTTAACGCGCACCGGGCACGCCACGGCAGTTCAACATGACCGTGGAGCTGCTGCTGCAGCAATGAAGGCACCCAATGAACTGAAATGACACGGCACGGTGGCGACCGAACCACAGCCGCCAGCTCAGTAGCAGCCCTGCGTTCGAGCGACTCCATGCTTCACTCCGGATCCGACTAACCTACCGAGTTGGCGGTGGTGGCCGAAGCCAGCCACCACCTCAGTAACAACCCTTACATGTAGTGGTATGCACGCGTGGTGAAATAAATCTGGTGGACCCGTGAAGAAGAACTCACTTGTTATTACTGTTGCAGAACAACAGCAGCAGTAGCTGTTGCCTTAGGTACCGGTAGGAATGACACCAAAGGGCCCAGAATCCTCTACTCAAGCAGGGGCTACTATAGTAGATCCTGTCCCCTGTTTTATCCTTCCGTGGGGAGTTTAATCTATCCGCGCTTTCTAGAAGGAACCTTTCTCTTAAATGTTCCGTCTGCCGTCCACACATCTGAACCCCATAACACACCGGTATCCGCGCCTAGCTGTGCATCTATTTAGCGGCCTACCAGAGCACCACCGGTCCTCAACTTACTTTGAACGGCGTGCGAGGGTAGCTTGACAGGAGGGGGGTGTGAGGCCTCTGTCAGAGTGTCCAAGAGAGGTTGCACGACGGCAACGACGGGGGGAGGGGGGCACACGGAGGAGAACATCATGTCAGCGGGCCAACACTGTCGGGTGTCCATCGACAGCAGTAGTATTCTGGTCTTGGATGATCGTCAACTCTCCTGTGTCTTTTACGTCTGGTGGTGGTGCTACTACGGAGGCCACACACAGGAGGAACAAGGAAACGAATCATACATGGAAGAAGGTACAGCAGTGCTACTGAAATCGTGAGAATTCATCTTTAGTAAAGAAAGAGTTCAGTTTGGTTTGTTTGTCCGCCTCTCCTCCTCACGTTGGAATTTTTCTTTCTCTCTCGCTGAGAGGACCTTCTTCATGTTTACGCGACAAAGCTTTAGATTCACTTGTAGCTAATTTCGGCCCAACGGCAAGTGGCACGGCAGTGAGCGCGGGTTCCCCGATGCCAAAGGTCCGTTCTTCCCAAAAAGAAATAGATCCATGGCCCGACCACGCACAAGAGGGCACATGACTTCTGAACCATCTCTCTCTCTCAAAGAAAGTTGCGGTTGCCAACAACTTTTTTTTCGTTCCTTGCTGGTGCTGTGCTGTCCATTGCATGCATGAGCATGAAAGTAAAACGTTTTGTGCAAGGGCCGTTCATTCGAACGACAAATTTTCTTGTTTGTCTGGCACAACGGGATGCTCTAAAGCCAATCCTGGATACGCCCTCGCTTGGAATGAGCGGGTGCCACCCGGCACACACGGGGCATTTTGCCTGCCTAACCACTGTTAGCCCACATAGCTCCTGTTGAAACGCGCAGTATTTCTAATCAATTCCCATCCAAAGACTTGGGGACGCCTACAAAACCAAACGCATGCGTCTGAAGAGGAACAAGAGTGCTCATCTTGAGTACTTCTATACGAGCATTGGTACGCACAAAAAACGTCAGGCTACTGCTCTGAATACCCAAGTACTACGGCATCAGCAGCAAATACTGCATCAAAATGCACACGGTGCTGTGTCTTGTGTGCCCACGCGCCCAGAATTGGGGAGATGGAACAAGGCATGGGTCTGACACACACACTCGTCTTCGTCTCAAGTCATCAGTATTCCTTCCACCAGCTGCCCTCCACCGCGTGTGGACGCTCCTGCCGACAAATCTACCTAGTACCTAGTACAGTAGTGGTAGATAATAACACTTGCCCTACCGCAGAACCACGCCAACACGAAAAAAAAAAACGCCAAACAGACAAAAAGACTCATTTTACGCCTTCTCCACCCCCACCCGCTGCCGGCCCACCCTTAATCGCCAGCTTCTCCCCGCGTTCCCAAAGCATCAGCAGCGCAAACACGCTAGCTATAATAAAACCAATAAAAAAATCGACTCTGATTCAGCCACTGCTATGTACTACCACCACCACCGCTACGTAACGTCAGAAATCAATGTCTGGCCGGACCAAAATCAACCCCTCCCTTTCTCCTCGCCCACGCCACCCCCCCCTGCTCTGAACGAGCCCGCGAACACACTCCCCGCCGCGGAGTCCTGCGCAGCCAAGAAGCGGCGAGTGCTACCCCCGGCAGCCCCTTCGGCGGCGGTGTCCCCGTAGGTTGTCGCAGCCACCGACATGGACGCCGAATCCCACCGCTCCAAAGAACGGGACCGGCTTTGCCTCACGTGCGCCTCCCCCTCCTGCACACACAAAAGGGGTTTAATGATCGTTGTTGTTGCTTTCAGTCTACGGGTAGGTAGGTGGCGTGGGGCGTTGGTTGGCCGGTGTTTTATAATCAAAAGAGCGTATCCCCCTTCCTGCGCACAAAGAGATCATTCATTGTTGTTGGTGGCATTGGGGTATTGATTGTGGCCGCTTGTTGAAGCAAGGAGCGTACCGCGTAGATTCAGCACCGGGGTTTTAAGCAACAGCATCACCAATAACAACAACAACAACAACAACAACAACACAACCATGTCTGCGACACAGTCGAGTAGCAGCAGCCCATCGGCATCCATACTGACCTCGGCGACACACCGCCAAGCATTGCCACCACCACCAACACAACCATCTCGGCAACACGATCAAGCAACGGCAGCATCACCACTACAACCCAACAACACCCACCCACGCCTGCGACACAGTTTCCTAACAGCAGCCCCAACAACGCCCATCAGCATCCACACTGACCTCGGCGACAAGGTTGCGGAGCTCCTCCTGGGCGGCGCTGGCACCGGGCCCGAAGTCCGCCGTAACGTGATCGAACGCGAAGGACGAGCGGTTCGGGACGGCGTCCGAACCCGCCGTGATGCCCATCGAGGCAAGCTCCCCCGGGTTCACGCCCTCGTTGAGAGCGCGCAGTGTTTCCGGGCCCATTTTCCATTTCTGACAAACCGTATCATGATAGCGGGGGGGGGGGGGGGGGGCATAAAAAGGTGTGATTGGCCGGCTAACAATTATGACCAAACCGTACAATGATGGGCGGAGGGGGGATGAGAGCGAATAATAAGATAACAATCGGTGAGAGGGCCCGTTCGGCGATTGGCCGTCTAATCATGTACGGCTTCGGCTATTTAGAAGGAATCGGTGCAGCACCGTTCATCGTCAGTCCGCCCGTCACGTTTGTTGACGTCGCTTGCCAACTCGTCAAGTTTGCTACACCGCACACAAAGTTGCACTATTCAACATTCGCATCAAGAGACACAGCAGTTCTGACAGCAGTCCTCGGTAGCATCAAAAATTGTCCATGCAACAATGACAGACAAGACACGTCTATTGTATGCTTCCCGGGCCGGTGTCATCAGGAGACGGCTCAAAAACGCCCCCGCACCTACCGAACCCTATAAAACAAAAAACGGCCGAACCCCTGCTGTACCAACATTAACGCTACCAAGACTCTTACCGGACACGCCGCTGCTACGAAAGGGATTGCGGCACCACGATATACTACTTGTGTGCTGCGAAGACCATGAACGTCTATAATAACCCTTAACCCTAATAAACGCCAACTCTGCATCAAAGCAGCGGCGCACCCGCTACTACATACTCAACGGGCTTGACTGATCGGTCGACTGACTTACATGGTTCGCATCGTCCCTCTTCGGGCCGAGGACCTCCTGAACGTCCGTGTAGCCGCCGGGGGTCGGGGACAGCTCTTCGGCCCTCGCCCGGGCCTTGATCTCGTCGAGCCGCTGCAGCCCGGTCTCCGAGGTGAAGCCACGGTCGAACTCTGCACACACAAAGATAGCAACAACAACAACACCAACAACAACAACGGAACCAAAATGTGCTGTGTGACCAAGACCGGCAAGAGAAAAACGTGCGGTAGAGCGGTAGTACTAAACGTTCACGCGCACGAAGCACATGCATTGCAGCCACTGCATTATTTTTTTTGCACGTGCTTCGTAAACTACTGTAGATGGGCGACGATCACAATTTTGGCAACTTGTCCCATGTGGAGCAGTCCCATGTGGAGCAGGATCATCCGCACAACAAGCAGGGGATCGACCTTGCTGTGACCAATCGAGACGTGAGTCTCACAGAAACAGAAAATCAACAGGACGCGTACACCGGCACAACGAAAACAAAAAAATGGGGGAGAAACACACAGAAATACATGCCCTCCACAGCCGTAGGTGTTGGTTTCTAAGCAGGCTCTTTGCGCGTTGTTGCATGGCCTAAAAAAGTAAGTGAACCAAACGAGGCCCATCTGCCTGGCCATGAGCAAAAAGCAACGCCCAGTTAGAAGAGGTATCAAGGCGAGTCGCCCCAAGCAATGCTTGGCCATCTAGCACAAGCAACCGAGAGGATGATCGTACGTCCTATCCTCTCTTTTTGGTTGCTATACATACCTCTGGCGTGGTGGCCGACGGTTGGGCGGAAGTTGTGCTCCAGCATCTTGATGAGGGTGTCCAAAGACCATGTAACGCACGGCACCTAAAATTAAACCGAAAAAAATGACGACGTCAGGGCCAGAGACAAGGGCAAGACAATAAGATGGGGGTGAATGGAGAAATGAAAAACAAACAGAGTACACTACGGACACGACGAGATCAGAGTGGAAGCATACGCTCGCTACCCACGCACGCGACACGCAACAAAAAAAATGGAAAGAAAAGCCGCCATCACGGCCTACGTCTCTATCTGCTTCGTCATGCGACGACAGCATCCTGCATACTTAGTAGACAACAGCGACAACGAACGATGACATCGGCATCGGCAGCCGGGGTTACGGTAGCAGCAACAGCATCACCAACAGCAGCAGCAGCACCATCACCACCACCACCACCACCACCATCACCAGTAGCAGCAGCGCGGCAGACACAACATGTAGTAAGCGAAAATCACAACAGCAACCGTAGCAATAACATCAAACTCAGCAACAGCACCGTCGACCACAACCGCCTGCTACCGCTGCACCAGAAACAACAACAGTAGCATCAGCAGCAGCTGCTATCGCTGCACCAAACACAACAGCAGCAGCAGCAGCAGCAGCAGCAGCAGCACCAACCCCAACGCTAACAACATCACCCCAACACACCTGTATGATGATGAGCCAGAACGCGCTGCGGCTCATGAGCTGCATGGCCACGTAGTAGAAGTCGTAGGCGTACGACACCAAGAGGGAGTAGAGCGAGATGAAGGAGAAGAAGAGGGCTATCGATCCCCACCAGAAGAACCAGCTCTGGTAATTCCATGTCTGTGTTCCGCCAAACAAAAACCATACCATCCACGTTTCCGCGTTTGGAGTTCCGCACAAGGATCGGGAAGAAGGGGAGTGAGTGGTCAGGAGGAGGTACCGTTGTAGCTGCTGGCGCTACGTTCACAGGCATCGAAATAACCAGTATCCCACGGTCGTACAGATCCTAAACATAGCATTAGAAAAAAAAAAAACGTTGGAGTATGCTACGAGATTCCGCCAAAAATATGTCGGCAAATCAAACTCCTTGTCATGATACACACACGCATGCTACAGCATGTATAGGGTGTGTCGATACACGACACACAAGAATAAATACGAAATTATTTTAGGTAAGTATTTGATACATGCATATTGAGGCACACAAATACATGTGGAGGCCCAAGCACAGATCATCGGCGACGAAATCTCACGTTGGTCATGTTGAAGACCTTCATCATCATGGCCATGATCAGGCCGGCGTACACGGTCGTGCCGAACACGTACAGCCCGTCCCCGTAGCCTCTCTCCGCCCAAACCGTCGTGGCGTCCCTGTAGGCCGCCAGCGGCAGGAAGAAGACCGTCAGCGAGTCCAGGATGGCCTGGCACACCCACTTGGTCATCGTCTGCCGAAGGCAGAGGGGTGTTCGAGTGTGCGTGGACGGTGACGGGTGCAACATTGGAAATAGTAATGAAATTGGGAAGATTGGAGGTCATGGCAGGAGCGTCCCCAGGTGTGTGTTTTACTTGTTCGTGCGTGTCCCCGTGCGGTGAAGCGAAAAGTGACCAGAGCAAGGGACCGCCGCCGTCCGCAAAGGACAAGGGGTGTTCGAGCGTGTGTGGATGGTGACGGGTGCAACATTGAAAAGAGGTTAGGGTTCACGCGGACACATTGTATTTAGGAAGGACCACTACTACTTCAGGAGCGTTCCGAGGAGGGCTTTTATTTTTTGTGTTGTATGTGACAAAACTTGGCGAGAGAAAGGGGGTCAAATGATGCCAACACATGGGGGCGAAATGTTGGTATTGTAGTTTGTTCCCGGGATGAACGGCGTACCGCTACAAAATCTTCTCTATCCATCGTCACAGAGCTGGCCCAAACCATGGCCTGGCACACCCACGATCGCCAGAGGGCCATCAGAGCTCCCCAGCAATTCCATCCAACAAAAAAACACAAGGCCGATGTGACGACCCCACCCCCCTTATCCTTCCTTCCATACGACAAGCCAAATACCAAATACCGGCGGTGTTTCGCGCTTGGTGATGCGAGAGCCTGGTCCGGTGAGAACCCGGCGTGCTCCGTCCCACCTTCTGAAGGGATGCGAGCAGGTCAATGGTCTAACGACTACGGCATGCAGGAACTATTCGCCCTGCCGCGTCCCGGCCTACCTAGATGCTATCTTCGAAACACGATATACATCATGGCATACATGACCGTGAGACTAACCCCCGCCCCCCGCCCCCCGCCCCTTCCGTTCCGTTCCGTTCCCGGTGCGTACGTGTCCCTCCCACTCACCCTGAGGTTAAGGTCCATGCCGGCCCGGCCGACGGCGTATAGCTTGTGGCACTCCGTCGCGGTCTGGTTGCCGACGTCCTTGTCGAAGATGCCGATCAGCAAGATGGGCATGGCCGTGAAGAAGTTGAACCCAGAGTACACCAGCGACTCGAACAGCGACTTGAGCACGTTTCGCGGTAGTAGGAAAAAGTCGAAGAAAAGAGAGTGCGACGCCGGGGGGGGCACGTCAATACCACACGAAACGGTTGGGAGTAGAGGGCGGGGCGCGCACGCGCCGACAAAACAAGTTCAGAGGAAAAAAATATAAAAAAGGTGGTCACCACCACCTCCAACTTGAATATCACGTACTGCCGTAGCAGGTTTGGGTTATTGCGGCCTTGCTGCTACTGCGCCGCTCGGGTCCGAAACCGAGTGCCCATCAGGATGGACATGACCGCTTGAGAAAGTGGGAGCTCTAGCAGCGCTCGAGCAGCGACTGCGGCAGAGCCGTGTGGTGTCATTCCGTGGTCGATGGGACGGGATTCCGAAAAGCGATATGTACCGCATTCCACATTTGAGTATTTTCAACAAAAAACAAGCATGGCGTCTCGGGACGCATCAAGTCGGAGACAGGAGCAAGGCAGGAGAAAACGCTGAACTTTTCCAACGGAAATTACAATAAAAAAAAAAGCTACACACTTACGTACAATCAGCTTCATAAAAAAAAAAATAGCAACAAAACAACACACGGAAATCCGTCGGGAGGGGGCTCGAAGTCCGAGCAGGGCGAGACAACAACCAACAGCGGTGTCGGCAAAAAGACTTCACGCATCCCCTTCGACTATGGTATTATCTCGAACGGTGGTATTTCTGTGAGGTTATGTATACTTTCTAAAAAAGAGGGCAGGAACTCTTGAACCACCGAAACACAGAAGACCCCACCATTCACAGGAGACAAGAGCGTCAGGCCAAGAGAAAAACACTCACCTGGCCGCTGAACCCGGTGTAGAAGCAGAAGTAGAAGAGGCAGAACGTCAGCACGAAGTTTTTGTAGAAGCTGTACAGGATCACCTGCTCAAGTCGAAAAGGTTTTACGGCAAAGGTCAAGGCTAGCATAGCGTTCTGGAGCCCCCTCGTGTGTTTGGCCGGGCTATTATAGCTCAGCGTGAGCGTCGCCGTGGGCACGTTGCAAACGTGGATTTGGTGGCCACATCTACGGTACCTTTGTGGTCGTCTTCGTATAGCACGGGCTCGACCGTCACCTTCTTCAGCCCCATCTTGCCCCCGAAAACACTATACAAATACAACCTTTGGTAATGGCTAGATCAATATTTGGAGAGAAAACCGTCCCTACATGGAACAGACCCACGCATGCATGGAACAGACCCACGCATGTAGCGCATCGAGAGACTGGCAGCCCTGCAACCCCGCATCAACAAACCTTGCACACGCGGCGGTAATCCCAGTGGCCGTGCACCAGCATGAGCCTCTTCAGGAACCGGAATTGCGCGATGGCGAAGTCCGAGTTGTTCACCGCCTGCCGACCCTCTTTCCCGCTGATGCCCACCCCAATCTGCAGGAAACCAGCAGCGTGTGTGTTTTCATTTTTTGTTATTTGTACCGACCGGGCTAACCGGCTGACGAATGAAAAGACGCCAGTCTCAGCGCCGTTGAAAACACAAAATGCTTCTGAAGGCCACGACCTGGGACCCCGCGAGCGGGGGTCATGGGGGAGTCTATGCTACTGTGTGTGTGCAATACTCGTGTAAACGCAAGGCCGCAGTCGTTAGACCATTATCCTCGCGTCCCTACCACGCCGAGACGGAGCGATATGCAGGGTTGTCGCCGGGCCAGGCTATGTTTCATGTGTGCGTGTGGTGTCTGATACACCACAATTCTTGAGAGATTCCGTACGCAGATGTATCTTGCACACAGGCAGAAAAGAAGAAACGAAGCTCTTGTAGAGCACACGCTGACATGGAGATCACCGCTTTCTCCTGGAGTCCAAAATGGTGACCTCCGCTAATGCCGCATCCTACGCTACTTTGTACCCGCAAAGCAAAAAAAAAAAAAAAACACTTCCTCTTCTTGCCGAACATGCACTTCCTCCTGAATCACCCTGACGTCCTACCATACATGTCCTACCCGAAACGCAAACAATAAATTAATCACTATCAAACCTAATGAAACACACACCACACAACACACAGCAAAAATCACTCAACTCACCAGATACACTCTTCGTGCCCGCAAAGCACACAACAAACTCTCCCCCTGCGTACCTGAGCCTCCTGAATCATCCCGACGTCATTAGCCCCGTCCCCGATGGAGAGGGTCACCGGCGTTGGCACCACCCCCCTCTTCACAAGCCGGACGATCAGCCGCTTTTGCGCCGGGCTAACCCGGCACGCGATGACGCTCTTGCACATGCTCCCCAGCGTCAGAAGCATGCGCTCCGCCTCGGGGTTGCCAAGGACGTGGGCCTGGAGGGAGGGAGGAGGTAGGGCATAAACCGTGAGACGTGGGGCACATAGGCCTGGTTATCATCCGCCATAATCCGCCATCGACCATCCACTATCATCCATCACTCATTCGACCAAAAACAGGGAGGGGAAAGATACGCAAACATGAGACATATGTACAACCATGGGGTCTCATTCATCATTTCTGCCGAGACTTTTCCGTCATACGTCCGGCGATCAACAGGGAGGGTGAGGCATGAAACCGTGAGACATTACCATGGGATCACCGAAGGTTTCTGTTTATGGGGAGGGTACACTTCTGTGATCGTCATCCATCATCCACTGACGAAAACACGGAGGGCAAGAGAGAAACCGTGAGACACTACCATGGGATCAACCATGATTTCTGCTATGGTTTTCGGGGTGTCCACTGGCACAAGCCCGTGGGCCTGGCTAGCATCCACCATCCATCAATAACAGCGAGGGAGGGGGAATAATCAAGAACCATGAGACACAAAATGGTGGGGTCTACTTTTGTCATTTCTGTTGAGACGCAAACCCTGGGATCACGTACATCAGTGCCAGCAAGGTGTACGGGGGTCTGTACTAGCACACGTGGGGGAATTACCGCGCATAGCCGCCGTTGTGCTTCATGCCGTGAACGACAACAACATCAAGAGCGATAGAATCTTTCGAACCGTATCCTACAACATGAAAAAAGAACCCAATATTTTTGCCGATACGAGGTGTACTTGCTCTCTGTCTCTGTCTCCCGCCCTCTCCTCCGCCCGCCCAACCACCACGCAACCAAAACCACCCCCCAAAAAAATACAAATCAACCCCCAAAACCCAACAATCTCTCACCAAGCTAGGCCCGTCTAGCACGAGCGCCAGGGAGTCCGCCGTCAGCTCCGACAGCGGCGGGGCCCCCTGAGGCTGCTCCAGCAGGGGGGTCGGCAGAGTGGCCGCGCCGTCCTCCTCCATGGTGGCCACGCCGCCCGTCCGATTGCGATCCCCCATGGAAGACGGGGCGGAAAGGCCACCCCCGCCCCCGTGCCTTCGAGATCTTCTCAGGAGACCCAGGGGGCTTTGCTTTACCTGCCGGCAATAGGGGCATCATTTTTTTTTTTTGGTGGGGAGGGAGACACGTTGCTGGTGATTGGTTGTTTTGTTTGGTACGATGGTTCCAACATGTAAATGCAGTACCAAATTTCGTTTTTTTTGGGGGGGGAGGGAGAGGTTGGTGGTGATTGAATTGTTGTTTGGTTTCGGACGATGGTTGTGATATGTAAATGCAGGTACGCAAGAATTTTGTGAAAAAACATCCACCCTCTTCTTCCTGGCAACACTACCACGGTGAAATATAACGCCTATAATTCGAATATACAATAACAAGCGATGTGCCTTCCAACAAGCAAAACCTACCACTATCCATCACGTCCCATCATAAACCAGGCCATGTTCATATAACCATGGCCCAATGCAACTGCGTTGTTTTTGTGTGCTCTTTTTGTGTTTTTGTGTCCTCCTCACATGTCCCCAGAAGCGCTTCACCAGCCCGTCGTCTTCCACCAGCCTGTTGAAGTGGGTCATCAAGGCCCTGAGCTGGTTCACTACAGACTGCGGGTCCCCCTCCTTCTCCTTCAACTTGATGAGAGTCATCTCCGGCTCCAACAGCCGGCAGCTGGTTCATCAAATGCGCCATTACGGAAGTGGTGGAGAGAGCAAACAACGGTGGTAGTAGAGAGGTATGGGGAGGAAGTGAGGGGGTACATTTAGTCCTTCCCGAAGCCTCCTGACACGAGATACCACTGCTACCACCAACACTCGGGTTCGGTAATGGTCGGCATGGTTTGGTATTCCCTACTATTATTGTATTTATCACGGTAACTTGGTTTTCACCAATTACCGCGGAATAACTATCCCGGAATTTATCGTGATAAAAGTGTACCGAGGGGGACCCTGATATTTTTGCAGAAGATATCTTGCGTAATGTCCATGGCCACCCCTAGGGGATATAGATGCTGCACTCCCTTCACTTCCATCCAACACCAGCAACAATCTTGACCGTGTCACCGGCGCTACCGTCCTATCTCTTTGCTCCCTCCTCGGCTTCGTGAGAGTGTTTTTTCCTTCTTGTGTACATGTACTTCGTGCTTGTTTCTTACTGTCCTGCCAGATGGGCACGCAACCCGCCGTCCTCTTCCAACCTAGATACAACCTCTGATACAACCCTTTCCTTCTTCACGAAGGCGTTCGGCAATAATCAGGGGGGTGGGGGTAGAGGTGATCACTGACTAAATAGAGGAGCAAGAAAGTAGGGGCTTTGAAACAAGAACTCTCTGGCTCAAGGAGCCTGCGGGGGATCCACGGAATCTTGAATCACATAGAGTACGCGTGGCAACCGGTGTTTTCGGGCGCCGCCTACAACGACCCCGCCCACGCCGTCACACACGCCATCAACCTGCCCTTCCAAAAAGAAAAAGATGATGAAAAAGATGAAAAGGTGCCGATCTTCACGAAGGGTACAACCTCCCCAACGTCTGTCTGTCGAGGACGATTTCTCTTCTCGAAACATGACACAAAGCAAAAAAATTCTGGAACCGGTTGTACGCAAGGAATTGCTATCCATGTATGCATATCCATATTCATGTGTTATTGGTCGATTTGATCGACAAGCAACCCCGCCACTTTTAAGCCTATTTATCTAGTGCGTGATTTGGTCTATCGTATATCGACGAGAATCCCCCGGCCACTACTAATACTATATTAGTAGAGGCTACATCCAGTGTGTGCTTCGGTCGATGTTTATCGACAGGTACCCCCCCCCCCCCCCGCCCGCGCGCACACGCGCTCACCTGTATCCGATGTTGATGGCCGTCTCCATCTTGTCCCCCGTGAGGACCCACAGCTTCACGCCGGCCTTGCCGAGGTCCGCGATCGTCGCTGGCACTTCGTCCTGCAGCTTGTCCTCGATGGCGGTAGCGCCAACAACGTCCAGGTCGGCCTGGGCGCAAGTGATCGCATCGTCGTGCAATAGCACGGCAGAAGAAGGGGCGGCGGGGTTATTGTACACGGGGGAGAGAGAGTGCGGTATGGACGATTGTGTCACGAACACCAATAGCGTGGTGCAGCAGTAGCGCCGATAGCAGCTGAAGCGGTTACTTTGCCGCTCCGTCGTGTGAGTGAACTTCCAGGCTTAAGAGTTTCACATGCGTTTGTACCCATCTGTTAGACTTGGATCGAGACTAATCGCGCAAGCTCTAATCAGACCGCAACCGGCTGACGTGACTTGGTTCGAGCCTTCCCTTTCCCCCCCCTGACACAACAACCTTTATGGACGTTTCCGTACAGCTACTACAATTTGAAACCCTTTGAGACAGATGAAAACACAGCGCCAGCACCACAACCACCGCCACCAATAACAACACATGCTACTCCAATACCAAACAATTCGAGACAGCGACTGCTGCAGCACGGTGTTAACAACGCACACCTCACCTCGACTTCCTTGGCCACCTCGGCGATCTGCTCCGCACGGTCGCCGGTGGCGATGGACGCCTTGCGGTACTTCTCGTACCACTCGTCGAAAAACTCCTGAAGGCAGCAGAGAAACACACACACGCGCAAACAAATGGGAGAACAGCAGGTTGTAAAAAAGAAAAAGAGAGGGAAAAATGATAAAATTGTCGGCGGAAAGCGCTATTTACACATTCGTTTTGCTCTGCTGGGTGGCCCATCTGTTGGTTCTTCTCGGCTCCCCCCCGTCGTCAGCAGTGCCCCAACCTGCTCTTCCTTCTCTAACTCCTCCGAAAGCTCGACAACCTAACAACAAAGCCAGAACAGCATGCATTACGTCCGAAATTTCGATGGCGTCTTACGAGAGGGTTTGTCCGCCCTTTCCACGTCTCACTTTCTTTCTTCTCTCTATTGTACCGTTTTGCTCCTTACATCAGAGGTATTTATTTTCCTTGCTTCCTTCTCCTCTCTACGCACTTTCTCCTTTCCTCAGAGGTATTTCTTTTCCCTGCTTGCCTGAGACATCTCCTTCTTGGCCAGCAGGAGGGTGCGAAGACCGTCGTTGGAAAACACGCCAAGATGAGAAGCCACGGTTTCCTTGTCAGACCCCATGTACCCCCTCGAACGGTCCATGATGATGTTGTCCGCCCCCTTCACCGTACACAACAATGGATTAAGACGGGGGAGAGGGCGGGGGTACTGTTAGTCCATGACGATGTCCGAGCCCTTTACCAGTAGATAACCAGGGATACGGGATACGGGGAGGAGTACTCAACACAGCCGTAGTCAACATGAGACCATTGCCTGTAATACCGGGACGGGGCTATTCAGGGGGATGGCGTACTCTCATGTTTTGCATGCCTTAGCGGATAGACCATTGACCACGCGCCTTCGAGAGGACGGAGCACTGTTCGCACAGGACTTATCATCAGCCAATCGTTCCTTCCTGCTATTCAGGTGGGGGGGGGATAGTGGAAAGAAAAAAAAATGAGAAAAACAGAAGGCACCCTGTTCGTGATGAAGCTGTCTGTTCCCTACATACAACAGCAGCGGTCACCTGAGTTCACGGCAAAACCAAGGACCACAAAGTTACCGGTAAGCAAGGGTATTCTCTAAGGAAGACACCAGGCCTCCTCCCACTCAAGTCGTAGATATCTCCAATCCAATCCGGTGCTACAATGCCATTACACACAGAGAGACCCCCTGCCGCACTACATGTCTCCTCCGACTCGTACCGCAAGAACGAAAATTTCCATCCTTTCCCTCATTCAGAAGCTACCCACGAACACGCGCTATCTTTACGTATACTACAAAAAAAAAACAGGAAATAGATGCTGTGCTGGGCGCGGGGGTTGGGGGAGGTACAAACTTTTGCATGCCTCTTCTAAGTGTTGTAAGACCATCGCGGGGAGGGGTATCGTACTCCGCTGCTGGTGTTGGAACTCCCGGCTCAGCGACCAGAAGACTACGTACGAGGAGGTTGCGAGATTTCACAACAACGCCCCGACGCGAGACACATATACACACACACGACCGACCCCAGACGTTGTACTGTACATACCTTGCAGTACAAGACGTACGAGCCGTCGGGAGCACGAACGACGACCGACATCCGCTTCCTCGTCGAGTCGAAGGGGATCGTGAGGATGAGGTTGTACGACAGCCGGCCCTTGCCGGTCACGTCCAGCTCCACCTTCCCCGGCGAGCGGTCCACGAAATTCACTCCTAGCGTCTGCCGGTGTTTTCGTGACGAAAAACACACAGGGAGAGGGTGTGAGAGGGGGGGGGCGGGGGGCGGGGTCCGGTAAACGAAAATTGCGAGAGGGGGGTAGGGGGGTTGGGAGGAATATTTTCCGAGAATGCCACTCCCAAAAATAAACTAAGGTTTCAACACAAGGAGTGGGCTGAGGGGGGGCACACCTTGGTTTCATCGCGCAATAGGGAGAACGCGGTATGCATTCAGATTACAGTGCCGACTTCGCATTATCACGAGGACCCTCTGGCGAACACGGAGTCCAACCTCGACTGCTGAACTTCGCCATTGGCGGCCATGGTCATTTGGCAAGACACTCAACGGCGATCGCCGACCAGCGAGCGTTGACTCATCTTTACCATGTGCTGGAATGTCGTACAAGACACCAGCAACATGCTCACCGAACATGAGATACCCAGGGAATTCGCGAAGGGTTTGGCTGTACGCACCAAATACCATGGGCGAGTTGCACACAAACACAGAAACAAAGTTGTGCCCAACTAATCGTTTTACACCGGACGTTCGAAATTTCATCACTATTGCCAGCATGCCGTGCATCGTCCCCTGCACGCAGCCGACAACTAACCGTCAACAACAACCACCACCACCACCACCAACAACAACAACAACAACAACAACAACCACCGCACCCACAAAACAAGACTCCCTCCCGCGACCGATCCAATGACCCACCTTTCCCCCGTCCACCAACGCCTCCTCGTCCGGCGACTCCGCCTGCATCTGCTTCTGGCCCGTCTTCGGGTCTTCCTCTAGCACCACCGTGTGGTTCAGAGCCAGGCACAGCGCGAAGTCTAGCGGCGCGCTACCCTTCTCGGCGCCGGCGATGTTCGACGCCAGCTCGGATAGCGGGGGTGCGTCTACCGCGTGCTGGCCAAAACCATCGTGGGGTTGAAGGTAAGGGGCGGGCAAAACACATGAGGGAGGGGGGGGGGAAGAGATAGAGTGGGAAATGATGAGGGGCGAGGAGTGAAGTTTGGAGGGTGCGTGGTTCACGGCGATCGTCGAGAAAAAACAGACACAGCACGGGCTCGGGCAATCCGGGTGTTCCAAACATCGGAATATAACGCATGTAGATGGCTGACGCACAGGGAGTTAGCTTCTTCGCAACGGCAGCTGTTTTTTTTTTTCGTGCTACATTTATTATGGCGACAGTCCCCCCAATTTTTCGTTGCGAGACGTGTACTGTACTACACTTGGTGTCAATGTATTTTTTCGTACAACTACAACCATCCAGGGTGACACAGGAGGGGGTAAACAGTGGTATGCATGGACATTTATCATTGTTGTTTTTTGGTCCAGAGTCCCCCCCGAAGAACAAACCAAAACAAGACGTACTTCAAAACACACAACACGCACAAACAACGGGCGACGTCACACACTGAAGACCCAAGAATGCCTGTTGCCTGATAACTACTATTTACTCAGTCCAACACAAGAATACCAAACCCGCACAAGCCTTCCGTGTGCACGTATACCTGGCAAATGCGCGCCTACAAAAAAGCAACAAAAAAGCATAGAATCGACGCCTTCTCAGCAACGCTCTCACCGTCAGCTGCTGCGGGGTCATGAGGTCCTTGGACTTCTGGTCCAGCTCCCCGTATATCACCCCGCCCACGCTGCAGCGCTTGAACTTCATGAGGTTCTGCGTCAGCGTCCCCGTCTTGTCGCTGAAGACGTACTCCACCTGCCCCAGGTCGGCCCCCATATTCGAAGACCGCGCTTGGGCGGGGGTGTCCTGATCGCAGAGTGTGTCACACGGGACGACAGCGGCACGTCAGCGGACGAAAAAAGAGTCTTGCCACTTCCCCCGACATTTTTTCAACAGGCGGCGGAGGCCGAGGAACAACACGCACGAGCACGAAAACAACACCAACAGGGAGGCATAAAAAAGCGCCACCGCTCGAGAAAATATGGTCGTTGACAAGTCGAGGCTAAAACAAAAAAAAAAAACGCAAAAACTAGGAGGCATTTCTGATGCCTGGGTAAATGGGCTTTTTCTACAGAAACGTTCCTCGTACAAGTATATCGTGGCTGTCAACGGCCTGCAGAGGATTTAAAACGAAACGAACCGTAGCCGACAAGGGAGGACCTGCGGTTACAACTATAATGAAGGGCGTCCTGCAGCCGAACACCCTTTCCTTGTAATTTTCCTCGGCTCCAATACTTCAATTCAACACCGTGATGGCATCTCGCGCTACGCGTACCTCATATACTCTGAGCTATTCAGCTAATGCTGTTGCGCTAGTGGTTTGTATCTCGCCCCGTCCCAAGCCCCTTCGGCGATTGGCCCCGTGAAGGGCCCCATCTATCTCTCTTACGCTTAGTAAGCCTTCTTCGGCATTATTTCGCTTACTGAAGATTACGCCCGTCAGTGGGGTGGGTGGTGGTGGGATGGGGGCAATCAGGCATGCAGCCAAGACCCGTATGCGTCGCCAGGCTAGAGTCGTCACGTACATACATACCCTCCCCGAAAAAAGGAGAAGAGACAGAGAGAAGCGCCATTCCGTCGGAGCTGGATAGAATTCCACCAGAAGCCAGGGGCAGCGGATAGCCCAAGGAAACCAAACCCCAAGATCAACATCGGTAACAAGCGGGGGAGAGCCCACTCCTACATCTGAACTCCATGCCGCTGCCCCTGGCCACTCGTGAAATTCTACCTAGCTCCGATGGAAGGGCGCTCGTGACTAGTTCCGCCGCCTTGGGTCGCACGGGTATACACACGCTCGTATGATACAAGGCGGCGGACCTAGTCACGAGCGCCATCCCGTCGGAGCTGGGAAAAACTCCACGAGCGGCCAAGGACGCAGCGGGCAGCAAAGGCATCCCAAACCCAAACCTCTCATTCCGCTGCCCCTGGCCGTTCGTGAAATTCTACCCAGCTCCGACGGAAGGACGCTCGTCGCTAGTTCCGCGGCCTTGAGTCGCACGGGTTTACACACGCTCGTGTGATACAAGGCGGCGGACCTAGTCACGAGCGCCACCCCGTCGGAGCTGGGAAGAACTCCACGAGCAGCCAGGGGCAGCGGATAGCCCAAGGCACCCAAACCCCACCTTCGACATCGGAAACAAGCAGGGTAGAGCCTACTCCTACATCTGAACTCCATGCCGCTGCCCCTGGCCGCTCGTGAAATTCTACCCAGCTCCGACGGAAGGGCGCTCGTGACTAGTTCCGCCGCCTTGAGTCGCACAGATATACACACGCTCGTGTGATACAAGGCGGCGGACCTAGTCACGAGCGCCATCCCGTCGGAGCTGGGAAAAACTCCACGAGCGGCCAGGGACAGCGGACAGCGGACAGCCGAGGCACCCTCACCACAAAGTATTCAGATCAACAGACGAAGTATCCACAACGCGGAGACATGAACGGGCTGGCCAACATGTTTCCGTCCAGGGCCGTGGGGTTAGGGCGCCTTAACAATACGTGCTGCCCCTGGCCGCTCGTGAAATTCTAACCCACCTCCGATGGAAGGGCGCTCGTCGCTAGTTCCGCCGCCTTGGGTCACACGGGTATACACACGCTCGTGTGATTCAAGGCGGCGGACCTAGTCACGAGCGCCATCCCGTCGGAGCTGGGAAAAACTCCACGAGCGGCCAAGGACGCAGCGGGCAGCAAAGGCATCCCAAACCCAAACCTCTCATTCCGCGGCCCCTGGCCGCGCGTGAAATTCTACCCAGCTCCGATGGAAGGGCGCCCGTGGCTAGTTCCGCCGCCTTGAGTCGCACGGGTTTACACACGCTCGTGTGATACAAGGCGGCGGACCTAGTCACGAGCGCCATCCCGTCGGAGCTGGGAAGAACTCCACGAGCAGCCAGGGGCAGCGGATAGCCCAAGGCAACCAAACCCCACCACCGACAGTGGAAACAAGCAGGGTAGAGTCTACTCCTACATCTGAACTCCATGCCGCTGCCAGTGGCCGCTCGTGACATAGTTCCGCGCGCCGTTGGAAGTCGGCACGGGTATACAAACGCTCGTGTGATACAAGGCGGCGGACCTAGTCACGAGCGCCATCCCGTCGGAGCTGGGAAAAACTCCACGAGCGGCCAAGGACGCAGCGGGCAGCAAAGGCATCCCAAACCCAAACCTCTCATTCCGCTGCCCCTGGCCGCTCGTGAAATTCTACCCAGCTCCGATGGAAGGGCGCCCGTGGCTAGTTCCGCCGCCTTGAGTCGCACGGGTTTACACACGCTCGCGTGATACAAGACGGCGGACCTAGTCACGAGCGCCATCCCGTCGGAGCTGGGAAGAACTCCACGAGCAGCCAGGGGCAGCGGATAGCCCAAGGCACCCAAATCCCACCACCGACAGCGGAAACAAGCAGGGTAGAGCCTACTCCTACATCTGAACTCCATGCCGCTGCCCCTGGCCGCTCGTGAATTCTACCCAGCTCCGATGGAAGGGCGCTCGTCGCTAGTTCCGCCGCCTTGAGTCGCACGGGGATACACACGCTCGTGTGATACAAGGCGGCGGAACTAGTCACGAGTGCCATCCCGTCGGAGCTGGGAAAAACTCCACGAGCGGCCAGGGGCAGCAGAGATGGATAATGCACCCCACGCCCCACCGCGATGGCGATGGAGCAGTATCAAAAGAGGGCATGTACCGCCCGAGGTCGCGCCGCAAGTGCCCCAAGTACTACCGCCGCTAGGGTGCGGAGCCTTGAGATCCCGCTGCATCAGCTGGTTGTCCTGCTTGTCTCCGATGATAGCGGTGGGATTCGGGTGCCTTGACTTCATTCACTGCCCGTGGCCGCTCGTGGCATTCTGACGAGCTCCGATGGAAGGGTGCCCGTGGCTAGTTCTGCCGCCTTGAGTCGCACGGACATACACGCTCGTGTGATACAAGGCGGCGGACCTAGTCACGATCGCCATCCCGTCGGAGCTTGGAAGAACTCCGCGACCGGCAAGGGACAGCGGACAGCGGACAGCCGAGGCACTCTTAACCCCACCGCGATGGCGATGGAGAAGTATCCAGATCAACCGACGGAGTATCCACAGCACGAAGTCATTGAGCTGCGGATGGCCGCCCATGAATTTCCGTCCTGGGCCGGTGGGGTTAGGGTGCCTTAACAATATATGCTGTCCGTGGCCGCTCGTGAATTTCTACCTAGCTCCGATGGAAGGGCGCTCGTGACTAGTTCCGCCGCCTTGAGTCGCACGGGTTTACAAACGCTCGTGCGATACAAGACGGCCGAACTAACCACGAGCGCCATTCCGTCGGAGCTAGGGAGAAATCCACCAGAAGCCAGGGGCAGCGGATAGCCAAGGCACCCAAACCCCACCATCAACATCGGAAACAAGCGGGCAGGGCCCACTCCTACATATGAACTCCTTTCGGCTTGCCCCTGGCCGCTCGTTGAATTCTGTCTAGCCTCGATGGAAGGGCGCCCGTGGCTAGTTCCGCCGCCTTGAGTCGCACGGGTATACACACGCTCGTGTGATACAAGGCGGCGGACCTAGTCACGATCGCCATTCCGTCGGAGCTGGGAAGAACTCCACAATCGACCAGAGGCAGCAGATATGGATAATACACTCCACACCCCACCGCGACGGCCATGGAGCAGAATGAAAAAAGGACTACCGCCGGAGGTCGCGCCGGAGGAACCCCAAGCACTACCACCACTAGGGTGCAGAGTCTTGAGATCCCGCTGCATCAGCTGGTTGTCCTGCTTGTCTCCAATGATAGCGACGGAGTTCGGGTGCCTTGGTTAGCTGCTGCCCCTGGCCACTCGTGAGATTCTACCCAGCTCCGATGGAAGGGCGCTCGTGACTAGTTCCGCCGCCTTGAGTCGCACGGGTATACAAACGCTCGCGTGATACAAGGCGGCCGAACTAGCCACGAGCGCCATTCCGTCGGAGCTGGGAAGAATTCCACCAGAAGCCAGGGGCAGCGGATAGCCCAAGGAAACCAAACCCCACCACCGACAGCGGAAACAAGCAGGGCAGGCCCACTCCTACATATGAACTCCGTGCCCTGCCATGGCCGCTCGTGAAATTTTGCCCAGCTCCGACGGAAGGGCGCCCGTGGCTAGTTCCGCCGCCTTGAGTCGCACGGGTATACACACGCTCGTGTGATACAAGGCGGCGGACCTAGTCACGAGCGCCATCCCGTCGGAGCTGGGAAGAACTCCACCAGCAGCCAGGGGCAGCAGATATGGATGATGCATTCCACACCCCACCGCGACGGCCATGGAGCAGAATGAAAAAAGGGCTACCGCCAGAGGTCGCGCCGGAGGAACCCCAAGCACTACCACCACTAGGGTGCGGAGTCTTGAGATCCCGCTGCATCAGCTGGTTGTCATGCTTGTCTCCAATGATAGCGGCGGAGTTCGGGTGCCTTGGTTAGCTGCTGCCCCTGGCCACTGGTGAGATTCTACCTAGCTCCGATGGAAGGGCGCTCGTGACTAGTTCCGCCGCCTTGAGTCGCACGGGTATACAAACGCTCGCGTGATACAAGACGGCCGAACTAACCACGAGCGCCATTCCGTCGGAGCTGGGAAGAATTCCACCAGAAGCCAGGGGCAGCGGATGGCCCAAGCCACCCAAACCCCACCACCGACAGCGGAAACAAGCGGGGCAGGCCCACTCCTACATATGAACTCCATGCCGCTGCTCGTGGCCGCTCGTGAAATTCTGCCCAGCTCCGACGGAAGGGCGCCCGTGGCTAGTTCCGCCGCCTTGAGTCGCACGGGTATACACACGCTCGTGTGATACAAGGCGGCGGACCTAGTCACGATCGCCATTCCGTCGGAGCTGGGAAGAACTCCACAATCGACCAGAGGCAGCAGATATGGATAATACACTCCACACCCCACCGCGACGGCCATGGAGCAGAATGAAAAAAGGGCTACCGCCGGAGGTCGCGCCGTAGGAACCCCAAGCACCACCACTACTAGGGTGCAGAGTCTTGAGATCCCGCTGCATCAGCTCATTGTCCTGCTTGTCTCCAATGATAGCGGCGGAGTTCGGGTGCCTTGGTTAGCTGCTGCCCCTGGCCACTCGTGAGATTCTACCTAGCTCCGACGGAAGGGCGCTCGTGACTAGTTCCGCCGCCTTGAGTCGCACGGGTTTACACACGCTCGTGTGATACAAGACG